CCAATCAGAAAAAGTATATGCACCCCTGTGTTCATAGCAGCGCAATTTCCAATAGCCAAGATCTGGAAACTGCCCAAGTGCCCATCAGTAGATGAGTGGATAAAAAAGCTGTGGCACATTTACACCATGGATACTACGTGACTGTAAACAAGAAAATCTTACCTTTTGCGATAGCATGGATGGACCTGGAGATCATTATGCTAAATGAAATTAGCCTGTCAGAGGAAGACAAATACCATATGATCTCACTTGTATGTGGAATCTAATGAACAAAATAAACAGATGAACAAAATAGAACCAGAAGCATGGATCCATGGAACAGGCTGACAGTTGTCAGATGGAAAGGGGGTGGAGGTGGTACTGGATGAAAGAAGGTGAAGAGATTAGCCAAAAAACATATATGTAGAACACAAAGACACAGACAACAGTGAGGTGATTGCCAGAGGGAAGGGGGTGCAGAGGCTGGATGGAGGTGGGCAAAGGGGGTAGGTGAATGGACATCTGTAATAGTGTCAACAATAAAAGTAAAGTAAAAACAAACCAAATTACCACAAAAAAGAGAAACAGATTTTTAAAAAATCATCCGTAAGTAAGGAGTCTAAGGAATCCAACAAAAACTCACGAGATTTTGTAAATGAAAATCCCACTTCCTGACAACTCATCCAGCCAACAGTAGAGGGCAGCCCTGTCCAATGAAAATCGAATTCAGATGAGAAACTTGCTCAGCAGGCCAAGCAAGAATGGGAACAGTTCATCCAGGCAGCAGGGTTTTGAATGAACTTTCTTTTTATTTTTCTACATTTTATAAGATTATACAATGAGCATATATTACGTGATCAGGAAAAAAGTTATTTAAAAATAAGGTATTCTGCAACTTTCTGTCAAATGATCATATATATATATATATATATATATATATATATATATATGCTTCATATGGCAAAATATTCATTGTATTATCTCAGCGGAAGGCATATGAGTCCTCTTGGTACAAATCTTTCAGCTTCTCTATGGGTTTGAAATTTTCCTTAATAAAAACTTGGGGAATATTTTGAATATAAAATTGAAAAAAGTCTTGGGAGTAAAAACAGGGTATTCACATCCATTAATTCAAGGATCATTTCTACCTTAATCTTAGAACAAGTCTCCTAGGTAACAATATTCTCAGTCCTGGGGATTGATGAGTAAATGTTCAAAAATTCTTATTCTAAAAATATTTGTTCAAACACTCCCTCCTTGTTACATAATGACAGAGCACATTGTCATTTAACAAATTCCTCTAAAACTTAGCAACTTAAAGCAGGTGTTTTCATTTTCTCACTATTTATTGGTCAGAAATTCAGGAAGAGCTCAGCTGGGGAGTTGTCCCTTAAGGTAGACCACACAGTTGTGGGGCTGCAGACAGCTAAGGTACCTGGCCTGGACGTACAAGGTCGCTTATTCAGATGGCTGTGACCTCTGCAGCAAGGCAGTCTTAGAGTTGTCAGACTTCTTACATGACAGCTCCACACAGCTTCAGGCTCTACAGATGAGCAGAAGCACGGTCTCCTTTCAGGCCCCTACCTCACTCCTGCCCACTGCATGGCTTCATGGAGGGCAGGGCGGATGTCCCACTATGTGCTGCTCCTGCTGCTGTCCTCAGGGAAGCCATTAAGGGCCCTGATGAGGCCTGACTGCCACTCACCCGCCCCCTTTGGGATCCTGAGGGACTTCTGCCTTTTCCTAAAAAGAAACTTTGAAAAGTAAGCAAACATTATCTCCAAGGAGAGGATTTGACAGGTTTTGCCATATTGCTCAGCCCCAGAGAGGGCAGACTCTTAGTGGTAAGTTTTCCCTGAACATGTGGCTGCCGTTGCATTTCCCAGTCTTTCCTCAACTAGGGGAATGAGACCAAGCTCTGGTGAGGTAGGGGGTGGAGGGGATGGGGGGGGCATTGAGGGAATGTGATATGTACAAGTTCTTGGTATCATTCTAAAAAGAAAGAGGCTTGCCCTCCCCTTCTCTTTCCCCCCTTTCTGACTGGAGCCAGGGCACCACCTTCAGCTGGGAGCTAGGAGCCATGTGTTGAAGATGGTAGGATGACAAAACAGAAGACCGAGTCCCTGTGGGTATGGATCTGCTGTAGCAGCCCCCTAACCACCCACTTGAACTTTTGAGTGAATGAGAAATACACCATCTTATTTAGGCCACAGTTATGTTGGGTCTCTCCATTCCAGCTGCCAGACTGATACCCTATCAGATGAAAGTCCTCTGTTTTTAATAGAGTTGTACTGCATGTCAACCGGTGGTGGTTGGCACCAACTCAACACCAATGGAAATCTCGAATTTGTGGTGCGATGGAAGAAACTTTATTCAGTGCAAACAGCTCAATTTGAGACAGCTCAGTATTGTTACAGGTCAATTATGATATAGCATGGGTGTGAAAGCACGGCTAGGAGGCAGCCCTCAGGCGAGGGAGCCTGCTGGCTAGACAGCTCTGCTCTGCTCTATTCTGTTCCAGGGTTTCAGCTCCAACCAGGAAAGGGCACCTTCAGTCTTTGGTGGAAAGGGAAAGCGCACTCTCTGAACCAAGGGGAGCTAATATAGAGAGAAGTCCCTGCCGCTGGTCCCTGACTGGTCCATCTTCAAACAAGGACACTAAATCCTCACAGTTCAATTGGTTCAGAAATTACTATCCTGATTGGTTACAGTGGAGCTACTCTGAATGGTCAGTGAAAGTGCTAATGGGGATACAGTGCTAGTGGGATGCCCCACTGATTGCATAGGGACAGTCCCAGTCCTATTGGTTGAAATATGATTCCAGGAACTCCTTTATAAGGGCTGGCTCAGATGGCAGACACAGTGCAGGCAGGCAGTTCAGTGCAAGCGTCAGGCAGTTTGGTGCAGGCNGCTCCTTTATAAGGGCTGGCTCAGATGGCAGACAGTGCAGGCAGGCAGTTCAGTGCAAGCGTCAGGCAGTTTGGTGCAGGCTTCTCCCTGAAGCATGGCTTGTGTGAGGCCTCTGTTTAGAAATGGCTGCTAGACTCTGTTTTTAAATTTGAGCCTTGTTAGCCAGGTGAATTCATTCTTGGAGTCAACAAAATAATCTCCTGTGAATGGACACACAGAACCTTGGGCATGTGGCTTAGGCAATAGTCACAAGAAGGTAAATCCCTTTCCCTTTGAAAGAAAGCAAAAGTAACACCATAGAAATTGATCAGAGGGTGCCGGCCCCCCTGACTTGTCCTGGAGGGTTTCCCACAACAATGAAACCAGAAGGCAGAGGGTCCAGAAAAGATGTGGGGTATATACCCCAAAAAATATTTAAGAAGGAAAAATAACCTGCTTCCCTGTCAATCAGCATTTCTGGGCTATGTGGCCTTAAAGGATTTCAGTTGTCATGTGTGACCCTCAGTAAGCCTAGTTCCCTTGAGCTCAGTGGGACGTGCTTCTCGTACAATCCACTGGGATGAGAGCCACAGGAAGCTGAAACTCTGCCCCTCTCCAGTCCAGGCTCCTCAAAACCTCCATTATCCTTCAGAGACCCCAAACCTCCTCTGCCACTGTCACAGTTCGTCCTCCAGGTCCAGTGCATGGCAGAGATTCTCATGGTTTCCCACACAACCAACACTTCCTACCTTAGTAAGAGGAATTATGATTCCACTGAACAATTACTTTTTCCAGCCTTTCTGCAAATAGTGTCTGCGGGACCCCCATCCTGGCCAGGGGACTGTAACGAGGCTTCTGGACAAAAAGGGGCCACATGCTAACCTCACAAGCTAGTTCAGGGGAGGCCTGCATGGCCGCCTTGCAAACTCGGAGACCTAAAGTAACCACCAACGATGGTCTGAAATTAAAATTTTCACTTAAAGCAGTTTATGACATATAGTCATGTCAAGGCTAGAATCTTCCCTGACAAAAGTCAATCTTCCTCTTAACCAAGCCTGCCTGTCATGCATCTAGATAACATACCTTTGGAATGTCAGGGTAACTCCCCTTTACCCAGACTCCCCAGGGCACAACCAATGCACCAGGGCAGACACTACAAATCCTCTCATTGTTATAGTTAATTGTTGACTGTTAACTATACTGTACCCACCCATGTAAAAGAAGCATGTCTATAATTTTACTTTTTATCCAGTCCCAGAGGTTTCCCCCACTTTGCTTCTTCCCACCTTCCTAATCTATCACCAATGGGTTTCATGTAACCCACACACTTAACGTCTTCTCTTTTGATTGTAATGTATAAAATAAGCTGCAAAACTGCCATTCCCTGGAGCATTATCTCAGTCCGTTGAGATTTTGCTTCCTGGCAAATGTCAGTTTGGCTCAAACTCACAAAAATCCTCCACAGCCTGGCCGGTGTGGCTCAGTGGTTGAGCATCAACCTATGATCCAGGAGGTCATGGTTCAATTCCTGGTCAGGGCACATGCTGGGGTTGCGGGCTCAATCCCCAGTAGGGGGCATTCAGGCTACAGCCAATCAATGGCTCCCTCTCATCATTGATGCTTCTATCTCTCTCTCTCCCTTCCTCTCTAAAATCAATAAAAATATATATTTTTTAAAATTCTCTATAGGTTTGAATGTTTCTCATGCTGACACAGCTCTGCATCCTGGAAGTCAGGGGCAAGGCCTTGAGGAGGCCCAGAAATGCCGCCTGAGCCAGCAGGGCACACCCTGCACACAGCACCCACTCTTAGGCAACTCCTCCCCCCCAGGGCTCACAGGAAGCCCAAGCCCAGCGAGGTCCCTCAGCCCACCTCTAGACATGACCGACAGTGGAGGAGTAGTCTTGGATCCTGTCCACATTCAAGCCTGGACTTTGTTTACACCAGACTCCTCCTCAGCTCTCCCATGCGCCCCCCCAAGTCTTCTGCTTTCCTTCCTTCAGCTGATCCACTTCCTCCTGCCTCCTTCCCAGCCCCAGCCCCGCCTCAAGCCTTCACTCTCCTCTTTCCCTTTCTTCCTTCACCTCCTTTTCCATCCCTTCCTTCTCCAGGACACACACGCACACACAATGTTTTTCAGACAATTCAGCCTTTTATTTTTGAAAATAGTTCTGCAGCTTCAGCTTTCTTCCATAAACTGAGGTCGGGCAAGAAACAAAAGCACAGACATTGCTCTCCAGCCCCCCATCTGCACCCTAATCTGAACAGACACAGGGTGTTTGGGCGGAGGGAAGGAAGTCTGAGCCATGCTGTCCTGGCTGCTTTGCCTCACACTGAGAGGATCTCTCAAAGCCAAGGTCTCAGGGAGGAGCCTGTGCAACAAACCCCAGGGAAAAAGAAACTCAAGGAGCTAATCTCTCTTCCACCAAGCCAGCACAGAGCCCTCCCAGAGTGAGAGGGAAGGGATCAGTTTTTAGAAAGGACAGGATCAGGGACAGGGTCTGTTTCTCTGAGGCAGGATAAGAGAGGATACCCCAGCACATCAAGCTTTCCTCCCATCACCTCCCCCGTCCCCCTCCAGGGATGAGATGAGGAGAGGTTTTGCTTTTCCCCTTCAATCTTCCCTCTAAGAATCATGAATTGTTAGGCTTCAGGGAAAGGAGAGCTATGATAAGGAGGGAAAGGGGGGAAAAACAGGCAGGAGGCATTAAACCCTGACAACCTGACAGCTCCACCTAGAGCCTGCTGACAAAACCCCCTTGGTTAGTCTAATTCTGGCCACAAATATGTCATCTTCTCACAGGACCCAGCTCCCCCTGCATCCTGGAGGTCAGGGGCAGGTCCTGGATGAAGACGTCAGGTACAAGTAAAGGGCTCTTACCTTGGCTGTAAGAGTCAGAACGGAAAAGTGCCTGGTCAAGAACTAAAGTTGCCAACCTCTCTACAGATGTCCCAGGAGAAAACCTGGCACACAAGTTTGTGGCCCCAACAAGCCCAAATCTCTGCCTACCACACAGTGACTTCCTGCTTAATATCCCCCAACACACCCAAGAAAGGTTCCTCTGATTTGACCCTCTTGAGAATGGCAGAATAATCTTCGCCTTAGCATCTGTGCACTCGAATCACTCAAAAATTTAAAAAAATATATAATAAAGGATAAATGGAGCCAAGAGAGAAACAGAGGATGCAGCCCAGGCCCTGCAGTCTGTCATGGCAAGGAAGGATCCCAAGAGGGCCAGGCAGGCCCTGCTAATTCCAGCTAGGATCATAGCCATCCCAGGTTTGTGGGGGTGCCAGGTGCACACGGCGGCCCCTGAACAGGAAGCTGACAATACCCCTGTAGCCAGCCCTAGGGACCCCCGACTTGAGGTCGTCCATGACTCCCAGGGCCTTGGCGAAGGCTTTGAAGCTGTCCCTGCTGGTGTACTGCACCCGCACCTCCCCCAGTTCATTCCGCTCACTGGTCCTCACTTTCTCCACCTGCAACAGAGGGGCGCCATAGACTCGGGCAAGGAAATCCCTGTCGTAGGTCTCCTGTCGCAGGTACGACAGGTCCAGCTGGGTGAAGGGTACAAAGTGCTGGTTCAGCTTGATGAACTTGAGATGCTGGTCAAAAAACTGGCCATGGCTCACACCCTTGCGGCCAAAGGTCATGGTTCTGGAGATCTCGGGCCGCAGGCAGGCCCGGCCCTGCCTCTGCTCAGGCCGCCGCATCCAGTCATCCCAGAAAGCCTTCGGCCACTTGGGCTCCAGCTCGGCCCACAGCTCAGCCAACAGCAGCCAGCCCAGGCCGGGGAAAAAGTCGGTGCGGTACAGCAGCTCAGGCTTGCCTGAGTCCACCATCTGCTCCTTGCCATTGTCATTCCAGGCAGACACACACCAGAGGGAAGGGTCAGCCCTCAGCAGCGGATATGTGGCCTGGAAGTACTCGAAGAAGTCTGGGGCCACCTCCAGGTCGTCCTCCACCACCACTACCGCGGGGAAGTTGAACTCGTGGAAGACCTGGCTCAGTGCCCAGCGGTAGTGGCGTGCGATCTTGTAGTAGCCCTGGAACTTGCGGTGGTCAGGGGGCACAGTGATGATGCTCAGGTCGGGCTGTTTAATGTGTGTAATGGCGCTGCCATAGGAGGCTATCACCTGAGCTGTCTCCCTGTGCCCGCAGTCCTGGCTGACGATGATGGGAAAGCGCTCAGCCGAGGGCCGATAGTGCAGCAGCTTATCTAGACAGCGCCGGACAGTGCTGCGGTCACAGGCGATGACCAGGATGGGGATCACAACTGGCGGCAAGGTCACAGGCCCATGTGGAGGCACAGGTGGGACCGCAGTGGGAACCCTCCACCGCTGGTTCCGCCTCGTATAGTACTCCCAGATCTGCTGCAACAGCCCCCGCTGACGCTCCAGTTCCACCTCGGTGTCCTGGGCCAGGCGGATCACCTCCCGGGTGAGCCTGTTGGGGTCATCATCCAGAGTGCTGTCTGAGGGAAGCCTGCCGGGCAGAGGGCGCGTCCAGAAGAAGAGCAGCAGCAGGGCGTTCCAGGCCACAAAGAGGATGGCGCCCCACAGCACAAGCCCTGCAGACTGCTTCTTCAGCATCCTGGCCCCCGCAAGGGAGCGCGAGGGGGGTGCCCTGCTGGCTGGGCTCACTCCCCACAGTTCTAGGGATGTGTTCTCTGGGCTTTGGGATTAGGAAGCAGCCATGCACCTAGGGAGAGAAGAGAGAAAAGCAGTCATCATCACAAAGGCTTGGGGCAGCCCTGGGTTGGGATGAGGGGTATTCCAGGAACAGGTAAAAAGTGCAGGAGGGCCTTGCCGGGCGTGGCTCAGTGGTTGAGCGTCGACCTAGGATCCAGATGATCAGGTTTCGATCAGGTTTGGATTCCCGGTCAGGGCACATGCCCGGGTTGCAGGCTCGATCAGTGACTCTCTCATCATTAATGTTTCTATCTCTCTCTCTCCCTCTCCTTTCCTCTCTCTGAAATCAATAAAGATATATTATTTAAAAAAAAAAAAAAGTG